CAGTGCCACATCAATTTTTATATGTGTGTGTGTGTGTGTGAGAAATATTCTGTTTGAAGGCACTCTTAAAAGAAATGGTTGGGTATATACAAAGCCAAGACAAAATCTCATTTTTTAAAAGTGATAATGAACAATATAAACTTTTTATTAGCATCTGACGGTCGTGTCTCTCCCAAAGAATCCGGAGAGTCACAGTTATATAGCTTTGCAGGTTATTCTGCGCTCTATATATGTCACAAAGTAATTTTAGTTTTGAATTTTTTAATTATTAATTTATTTCATTAAGGAGGTTTTACAAAAACCACCTTAATTAAAATGTGTGCTCCACTTTTAAGAGACAAGAGAAGAGAAAGTCCACCGGAAAAGTTGTTACCAGAAAAGTGTTCTTTGGATCGAATGACACACTTAAAACAGGTGCGTCATGTCCCCGAAATGTCTTTTGCTGGCTGCTGTCAGTTACTTCCACAATCTTCACCAGGAAGTCACTAGGGATAATCATAATACTACTATTAGGAGCTGTGCTATATAATGAAAAATTGAAAATTTAACTTTTATTGGAATAAATGAAGCTGTATTTCTTCCATTTAAAAATGATTCAATTACAATTACAGTGCAGATGTACTTTTTAAAAGGCACTGCATGTTTCTACGCAAGTGTGGGCACACTTAAGACAATCACACACAATTACTCTACCACAGAAAAAGTTAACCTCTGTTCAATCTCTGCAATTCAGAGATTCATTTGTGTTATCAAACATTATAGACATAAAAACCATTTCCATAATGCATATTAAAACTGTTGATTATAATGAACTACTAACTCTGACAAATTGTCTTCCTGCCATGAGCCCCTCAAGGCAATTACAACAAATTGATCTAATTTTAAATGACAATTAAGGACTCTTGAGAACCACCTCCACAAATATCACCTGCAAATGCTTATAACAAGAGCAAGAGGTGGAAAAACGGAAGTAAAAGTCGGCTGGAGTGCTTTAAGCTAACCTTCAGAAACTCAGTAAAGTTATAACTTATATTGTACATACTCTTCTGCAGCCTGCATTAAATTAGGTACAGCCAGACACACTTCTCCACCAGATCAGTGCAAGAATATAGACAGCTTCCTATGAGCAAAGCCAATGTGTTTTTCTCAAGGGAATGCCAATTATATGTAGAGAGAATATACTATGTTCCTGCAACAATCCCAACATTAAATACAATCAGCAGAGCATGCAAACTTTTTTTCTATCATACATTAAAGGTAAAAGGTAAAGGTACCCCTGCCCGTACGGGCCAGTCTTGCCAGACTCTAGGGTTGTGCCATCTCACTTAGAGGCCGGGGCCAGCGCTGTCTGGAGACACTTCCGGGTCACGTGGCCAGTGACAAGCTGCATCTGGCGAGCCAGCGCAGCACACGGAAACGCCGTTTACCTTCCCGCTAGTAAGGTCCCTATTTATCTACTTGCATCGGGGTGCTTTCGAACTGCTAGGTTGGCAGGCGCTGGGACCGCAACGCAACGGGAGCGCACCCCGCCGCGGGGATTCGAACCGCCGACCTTTGATCGGCAAGCCCTAGGCGCTGAGGGTTTTACCCACAGCGCCACCCGCGTCCTTTAAAGAACCTTTTAATGAGGGTGAAAGAGGAGAGCGCAAAATATGGTCTGAAGCTCAACATCAAAAAAACGAGGATCATGGCCACTGGGCCCATCACCTCCTGGCAAATAGAAGGGGAAGAAATGGAGGCAGTGAGAAATTTTACTTTCTTGGGCTCCATGATCACTGCAGATGGTGACAGCAGTCACAAAATTAAAAGACGCCTGCTTCTTGGGAGAAAAGCAATGACAAACCTAGACAGCATCTTAAAAAGCAGAGACATCACCTTGCCGACAAAGGCCTGTATAGTTAAAGCTATGGTTTTCCCAGTAGTGATGTATGGAAGTGAGAGCTGGACCATAAAGAAGGCTGATCACCAAAGAATGGATGCTTTTGAATTATTGTGTTGGAGGAGACTTTTGAGAGTCCCATGGACTGCAAGAAGATCAAACCTCTCCATTCTGAAGGAAATCAGCCCTGAGGTGCTCACTGGAAGGACAGATCCTGAAGCTGAGGCTCCAATACTTTGGCCACCTCATGATAAGAGAAGACTCCCTGGAAAGACCCTGATGTTGGGAAAGATGGAGGGCACAAGGAGAAGGGGACGACAGAGGATGAGATGGTGGGACAGTGTTCTCTAAGCTACGAACATGAGTTTGACCAAACTGCAGAGGCAGTGGAAGACAGGAGTGCCTGGCGTGCTCTGGTCCAGGGGCTCACGAAGAGTCAGACACGACTAAACGACTGGAACAACAACAGAGTCTGCTGTAAACAATAAACACCTCTAAGTACCAAGTTACTAGTAGCAGCGTCTTGTTCCTGCCTTCTTCCATCCTACCGGCAACTGATTGCTTTCTGGAACTCTGCGTACGTTCTGCTAAGGTCCTGCAACAGGTCCAAAGTTGCCAAACGCCAATAGTAGTGGCATATATAAATAACCAGGATTAAGGAGTTTTCTCAGGACAGTGGAGGGGGAGGTGTCCTGGGGCGGGGGACAAAAAAATGGAGGGAGGGGTCAAGGAGGCCAGTTGGAGAGGTAATCTCCCTATTTTCTTTCTTCTTCTTTTTAAAACTTTTTTTATTCAAAATTAAAACAAAATATATTATCCAGAAACATCCTTATTCCCCCCCATTTTTCCTCCCTCCCCCCACCCTCCCACACAACCCCCCGACTTCCTTCAGTTCCAGTCTCTGATTTCTCTGAGAATGCTGTTTTCTGCATGTTACAAAGTTGTATAGATCCTCAAACTATTTAGCTGATTATTATCAATAACAAATTTGTGAATGTTTATTCAAAGCCAGCCAAGGAGTCCAGTTCGCTTTGTTGCGTCTTCAAATACTTTGTAAAGGGTTCCCATTCATCTTTAAAATCTCAGTTATCCTTGTTCCGTAGCTTATATGTCAGTTTTGCCAGTTCTGCATAGTCCATCCATTTTTCTTGCCATGATTCTTTATAGTTGGGGTTTCTTCAGTCTTCCATCCTTGTGCTATTAGAACTCTCGCGGCCGTTGTTGCATACATCTGGACTCTCCTTCCTTGGAGGTTTCTCAGCAGAGGTTGAAGGGCCATCTGTCATGGATGCTTCAGCTGAGATTCCTGCATTGCAGGCGGTTGGACTAGACGTCCCTCAGGGGTCCCTGCTAATTCTATGATTCTGTAATTCGTTTCCCAAATCTGGCATCACCACCTTCTTTCCTTCATCCTGCAGGGGACCGCTACATCGTTGCCGACTGTGGCGGAGGGACGGTCGATCTGACCGTGCACCAGATTGAGCAGCCGCAGGGGTCCCTCAAGGAGCTCTACAAAGCGTCAGGTGAGGGGGGGCTGGGGAGAGTCCACAGAGCAAGGCCACCTTCAAGGAAGTCCAGGGCTGCAGGTGGAGGAGAAAGGCAAACTTATCTCATTCACGCTTTCCGAAACCCTGTGGAATCTGAAACACAGAATTCGTACTTCTCCGAATTTTGCGATGCAGTTCTCCGGCAAAACAATGCGTGCAAGAATGCACGTGACTGTGGTAAAGCGTGGCTAAACTGCATTATAACTATGTAAGGAGAGCATGGGAAAGGAATCTGCTAGTGAAAACGACATTAAGAATTCTTCATACTGGGGGGGGGGAATGCTTTGCAGAAATGTGCAAACAGTTGTACCTTGGAAGTCGAATGGAAGTCTGTTTGACTTCCAAAATGTTTGAAAACCAAATCACAGCTTCTGATTGGCTGCAAGAAGCTCCTGCAGCCAATCAGAAGCCGCGGAAGCCCCGTTGGACATTTGGGTCCAAAAATATGTTCGCAAACCGAACAGTCACTGTTTGCGGTGTTCAGGAGCCAAACGTCCGAGTTCCAAGGCGTTCGGGACCCAAGGGTACAACTGTATTTTGCAAAATTCCAACACAAATCAGACTACAGCCCTGAACTTGTCACGTAAGCTGGCAGTTTTGCAGCTTTGAAAGGCAGCTGGGCTTGTGCCCAGGTTGTTTCCCACCAGCTATTTGCGGTGAACACGCCATATCCTGGGTTTCCAGGGCTGTTTGAAGCTGGCCTCCCTTTTGTTAGAGTTCCACCAGTGGCTGAAACAGAAATAGCCAGCAAGAAGCGAATAAGAAGAATCAAAGCCTTTATTTGAAGGTGGAAATGCAAATGTCTGGGACTCACTGCATTCTTCGGATTAGGTTGTTCATATTTGCAACAACACATTAAGAAAGTGCATTCCTCAGCGCAGGGGCCACCCCAGACAGTGCCCTGACCTGTTGGGAGAACAACAAACAATACAAGCACATGCAGACCCAGTATACTAGATAGCACTGTAATTGCTTATTGCATAATATACATGATTTAGTAACAAAAACAAAATGTGTGCACTTGTAAATTCTCCAATATATTTGAAATCAATTGAACACACGTCTGTCAATCTTTGAAAGTCGCAGAAGTATAATAGGTCTATGGTTGAAACAAAGTAATAGATGCTATCCTGTGGGCTAAGTGGTAAAACTTTTTTTAGGGCGTTCATGGTGCGGAGTAGTAAGTGAATAACAACAGACAGTGATCCCGGTAATCTGACTGTTTCACTGAGAAATCTTTCTTTCAGCACAAACCATAAGATTAGAAAAAGGCACAGGAGCAGTGGTCATGTTGGATAGTGTAATATGTTATTCACTTACTTACCTTTCAAAGATTGACAGACGTGTGTTCAATTTGCATTTCAAACATATTAGCAGAATTTACAACGTGCACACATTTATGTTTTTGTTACTAAATCATGTATATTATGCAATAGAATTACAGTTGCTATCTAAGTACAGTCGGTTGCCCCGGCAAGACCGAAATTTGCCTGCCTAAGACGGAAAACCCGCTAGACGAAAGGGTTTATCCGTTTGCGAATGCACTTCACGCAAGACGAATTTTCCCTATGGGCTTGCTTCGCAAGACGAAACGTCGTGCGAGTCTCGCCCATTTCCCCCCCCCAACTTCCCCCCCCTTTTCAAAGCCGCTAAGCCGCTAGATAGCCTTTTTAGCAGCTAACGCCGCTAAGCCTGTTAATAGCCGGTAAAGCCGCCTAAACCGCTAATAGCGCTAATCCGCTTAGCGCTAATGGAGTTGCTTTCGCAAGACGAAAAACCGCTAGACGAAGAGAATCGCGGAACGGATTCTTTTCGTCTTGCGAGGCACCACTGTATACTGGTCTGCGTGTTGCTTGTATTGTTTGTTGTGTTAAAGTTTGCAAACACAGGGGTTTGTTGTTCTGTATTGTTGATGTACCCTGACCTTTGGAGAGGGCAGAAAAACACACAGAGGCTAGCTTCTCTAGGCCCTGAAAGCCCCATATCCTTCATGCCATTATTATTGTTGTTGTTGTTATTCCTCCAAGGAGCTCAAGAAGGCACAAATGGTTTCCCCCGTCTCCTCATTCTGTCCCACAACAACCCTGCAAAGCCGGCTAGGCTGAGAGGCAGCCACAAGGTCCCAACCAGTGAACTGCATGCCAAGCAGGGATTCGAACCCTGGCCCCTGAAGCCCTAATTTGACACGCTAGCCATGTGCGGCGCTGCCCTCTCCCTGCTCCTTTGACCTTCCCTCTCCCGTCGCTGCCTTCCCAGGAGGTCCCTTACGGGGCCGTGGGGGTGGACTTGGCCTTCGAGAAACTTCTCTGCAGATCTTTGGCGAGGACTTCATCGCCACCTTCAAGGCCAAGCGCCCGGCGGCCTGGGTCGACCTGACCATCGCGTTCGAGGCCCGCAAGCGGACGGCTGCCGCCGCACCGCGCCAACTCCTCAACATCTCCCTGCCCTTCTCCTTCATCGACTTTTACCGGAAGCACCGGGGACAGAACGTGGAGACGGCTCTGAAGCGCAGCAGGTGAGGGTCGCAGAGGGTTGGATGAAATGGGGGTTGGGATAGGATGCCACTGGGGTCCCTCCTCACTCTCGGATGACCTTGGCCCTGGCAGGGATAAAAGGATCACAATTCCACTGCCCCACCCCCAAGTTCTTTCCCCTTTTGTTAAAAATCGGAGGCCTTCTTTCAGCAGGACACCATCAGCGGCAGTGTAGATTGGTCATTGCAATTAGACTAAACAGCATAAAATGAAGCAGAAAAAATTGAATTGGTCTCAGGATCTCAGACATACTATCTGTTATGTACTGAAGTTCTCAACCCTGGCCCAGCAGGGGGATACTGTAGATAGTTTTCACTCAGGTCCACATATGCAAATAAGGGATCAAAACGATATTCAGTGATTGGATAGTACAGAAAGTGGGTTACTGTTGCGTTGTACTGGAGCTCTATATAAGCTGAACCCTTCAGTTCGGTTCTGTTCTGGCCTGGGGTGAATAAACAAGAGCTGTTTGAGAATCGCTGTGTCGTCTATATGTTCACCACAACTTAACACTATCCATTTAGAGCAATGGGGAGAAACTCTGGCGAAGAGGATATACGATTTACTGCCTCATATACAATGAAAGAGAAATTTCGTAAAGATGTTCTATAGGTTGGTACTTAACGCCAGTTAAGTTGGCAAAGATATACAAATTGAAATCCAACCTCTGTTGGAGATTGGTGGAGAAATAGGAACAACAATACATATGTGGTGGAGGTGTGAGGAAATTAAGAAATTTTGGATAGTAGTACATGAAAACTAAAGAAGATGTTGAAAATATCAATAGCAAAGAAACCACAGACATATCTCCTTGGATTGATAGATGAAGAGATACCACAGGGGGAAGAAAAGAATTTTTCTATATGCAAGTACAGCTGCTAGAATAGTGATTGCTGGCTAGGTGGAAGTCACAAACTATACCACAAAGGAGGAATGGATTTGTAAAACTAAATGAATATTTAATTTGGCAAAATTAACTGCTATAAAAAGAAATCAGTCGAATCAAAAATTTAAAAAGGAGTGGAAATGTTTGATGAATATATGGCAAAATATTGCTAAAAAAAACCCCGCTAATATGCCTAGATTAAAATGTGAAGTACTGATTGCAAGAAAAATTAAGTAAGGAAAGATAACAATGACTAATATAGATGATCTTGAAGAAAGACTAGAATTGACAAGATTATTGGTAAATCTGTAATAATGTGGAGGAAACGAGTGGGGGTGGAGGGGAAAGCTGGGCACAGGAAGGAGAAAGAATAATATGATGCTTTGGGGAAAATATAAATTAAATTTAAGGAGTGGTGCAGGGGGATGGGCGAGGAAATGAGTGTTGGTTTTGGGTAGCATTACCTGTATTGTAAATGTGATATGGTGAAAACCAAATAAAAAATAGCAAAAAACCCCACAAAAAAACTAAAATAAAATAAAAATGTATAAGTAATCTCTTTTCTGGGCTTCCTCCAGCGTGAACCTGGTGAAGTGGTCCCCTCGCAAGGCGAATGCTGCGATGTCCTCTGAAAGCCATGAACGAGCTCTTCCAGCCAACCATCAGGCCAGATTATCAACACACATCGGTGAGTTCCCCCAATAGAGTGCTCGGCTGCGTGCAGAAAACTCAAGCTGGGTGCCAACCCTCTTTCCCCTGTGGGCAATGCCCTGAAATGGGCAAAAGGACAAAACGTGTGTCAGTTTGTGAGTGTGGATAGCTTCGTTGGTAGAGAATGAACCACTTAAACTCAAATGTTGTGAGTTCGAGTCCCGCATTGGGCAAAAGATTCCTGCGTTGCAGGGGATGGACCAGATGATCCTCAGGGTCCCGTCCAATTCTATATTGATATCAATTTTGCTGGTCAGTTCCACAACTTGCAGCCTGATCCTCCGGACAGCCGCAAGGCCCAGGTGTGAGACTCCCAAGATCGCCCTGGCCCTGTGCTCTTGCTACCCTCCAAGTGTCCATATTTCCAGGGACAGTCTCGAACTTACAGAAGCCACCCGGGTTTCTAATTTGATCCCAAAATGGTCCACTTGGACCTCCCTATTTTCATCAGAGATTGTTGGTGGGTATGGAGTTATGCAACCCACAAGCCAAGGAGATAGGCAAGTATACAAACTTTTTAGACACTTTTAGAAGCAGTCTTGTATAGGGAAGGCGGGTTTTTTATATGTTTAATGCTTTATTATATTTTTATATAAGGGACACGGGTGGCCACTGTGGGTTAAACCACAGAGCCTAGGACTTACTGATCAGAAGGTCGGCGGTTCGAATCCCCACGACAGGGTGAGCTCCCATTGCTCAGTCCCTGCTCCTGCCAACCTAGCAGTTCGAAAGCACATCAAAATGCAAGTAGATAAATAGGTACCGCTCCGGCGGGAAGGTAAACGGCGTTTCCGTGGGCTGCTCTGGTTCGCCAGAAGCGGCTTAGTCACGCTGGCCACATGGACCCAGAAGCTGTACACCGGCTCCCTCGGCCAATATAGCAAGATGAGCGACGCAACCCCAGAGTCGGCCACGACTGGACCTAATGGTCAGGGGTCCCTTTACCGTTCACCTTTATATTTTTATATCCAGTGGTCCTCTCGAACTTAATATGTTATGGGAGTCCGTTCAACTCCCGAAACCGTTTGAAAACCAAGACACAGCTTCCCGATTGGCTGCAGGAGCTTCCTGCACTCAAGCAGAAACCTCGTCGGACATTCAGCTTCCGAAAAATGTCCACAAACCGGCAACACTTATGTCTGAGTTTGCGGTGTTGGGGAGTTGATTTGTTTGACAACTCAGCCGTTTGAGAACCAAGGTACCACTGTATGTTGGAAGCTGCCCAGTCGGATGGTTTCATACAAGTAATAAAATTATTATTTTCATGGAACAGGACGTTCCAATTTTCACCAGAGAAACGTTGGAGGTATGCAGTTGGGGGGCAGCAATGCTTCTGAATCCCAGTTGCTGGAAACTGCAGGAGCGGGGAGAGGTCTTGTGTTCAAATCCTGCTTGCTGGTTTCCCATAGGCATCTGGCTGTGAGAACAGGATGCTGAACTAGATAGGATGTTGCCCTGATCCTGCAGGCCTCATCTAAGGTTCTTTCTGCTGACAGTGAGCCTACCAGTCAGGTGTGGAGGGTCAGAAAAGCCTCAGCTCTGCCCCAGAGCCTTGACAGAATTACTGTTTTTGGGGGACAGGAGGCAGGCGTGGGTGGAGGACTCCCTGGTCCTGAATGGGGTAACTGTGTCCCTGAAGGACCAGGTGTGCGGCCTGGGAGTCATTTTGGACTCACTGCTGTCCATGGAGGCACAGGTCAATTCTGTGTCCAGGGCAGCTGTCTACCAGCTCCACCTGGAACGCAGGATGAGACCCTATCTGCCTGCGGACCGTCTCGCCAGAGTGGTGCATGCTCTGGTTATCTCCCGCTTGGACTACTGCAATGCACTCTATGTGGGGCTACCTTTGAAGGTGACCCAGAAACTACAACTAATCCAGAATGCGGCAGCTAGACTGGTGACTGAGAGTGGCCGCCGAGACCATGTAACACCGGTCTTGAAAGACCTACACTGGATCCCAGTATGTTGGTGCTGACCTTGAAAGCCATAAACGGCCTCGGTCCAGTATACCTGAAGGAGCATCTCCACCCCCATCGTTCAGCCCAGACACTGAGGTCCAAGGGCCTTCTGGCAGTTCCCTCGCTGCGAGAAGCCAAGTTACAGGGAACCAGGCAGAGGGCCTTCTCGGTGGTGGCACCTGCCCTGTGGAACGCCCTCCCACCAGATGTCAAAGAGATAAACAACTACCAGACTTTTAGAAGACATCTGAAGGCAGCCCCGTTTAGGGAAGCTTTTAATGTTTAATAGGTTATTGTATTTTAGTGTTCTGTTGGAAGCCGCCCAGAGTGGCTGGGGAAACCCCAGCCAGATGGGTGGGGTATAATTATTATTATTATTATTATTATTATTATTATTGACAGTTACTGGCTCCCAAATGGAACCTTGCCAAGTTTTTCCACCCTCCTTTTGACACCTGTGACCTGTCCACCCTCCCTCCACTGTCCCCTCTCTCCCTTCAGGTGACCTCATGAAGAAGCCGGAAGTCAAAGGTATCAAGTTCCTCTTCCTGGTGGGAGGTTTTGCCGAGTCCTCGATGCTGCAGCACGCGGTCCAGTCGGCCTTCAGCGCCGTCTGCCGGGTCATCATCCCGCAGGACGTGGGCCTGACCATCCTGAAAGGTGCGGTGCTCTTCGGCCTGGACCCCACCATTGTCCGCGTGAGGCGCTCCCCTCTGACCTACGGCGTGGGCGTGCTCAACAAGTTCGTGGAGGGCAAGCACCCCAGGGAGAAGCTGCTGGTCAAGGAAGGGAAGAACTGGTGCACCGACATCTTTGAGAAGTTTGTCTCCGTGGACCAGTCCGTGGCGCTGGGCGAGGTGGTGCAGAGGAGCTACTGCCCCGCGCGGGTCGGGCAGCGGAAGATCATCATCAACATCTACTGCTGTGGCACCGACGACGTGGTCTACATCACCGACCCCGGGGTCAGGAAATGCGGTACCATCAGCCTGGACCTGGATGAGTTGGAGGAGCCCAGCTCTCCGAAGAAGAGCAGGAGGGAGATCCGAGCCAGCATGCAGTTTGGAGACACTGAGATCAAGGTGGCAGCCATGGACGTCCAGACGTCAAAGACCGTGAGAGCTTCTATCGATTTCCTTTCCAACTGATGCCCTGGACATTTGAGGCCTTGGAGGAGGTAGAAGAAGGGGTTTGGCTAAGGTCCTTCTCCTCCTCTCCTCTGTGGATTTTTCTGGTTGAGTCAGGTCAGACTTGGGAAGAAATCCAGCACAGGTCCAGAAACACATCCTCTTCGCTTCAACTCGCCAAAGAAAGGAAAGCTGGAAAACCAGGTGGACCCTTTCATCTTTCCCATCATTAGTCTTGGTCTTTGGTGGTGGCAACTGGATCACAGTCATGTATTATCTTCTCAGGACTCCAGAAGAGAGCAGAGGGGTGGGCAGCTTTGCAGGCCAGCAGTAAAAAACGCCAAAGAGAGAAATTCTGCTGCGGTTGGCCCCATAACCTTCCCTTCCATTTCCCTTCAGGTTTTGGAGAGACAATTTTGCGTGCAATGATGGTCCTTGCAGATGGGATGGTCCAGGATGCAGCAGCAGCAGCCCTTCATTCAAGACCATAATTTAACTAACGGGGAGTTGGAAATTTCACCTAGCATCATCATCATGGGAAGATGAAATACGATATCCACATTCCATTCAATGCAACTCCCCCACTCCTAGGAATTGCCATATTTCAAAAAGTAAAAACTAGGACATTCCGGAAAACCCCAAAGTTGTTAAGCTGTTTCTTTTTCTTCTTTTTTACAAAAACACCAAAAAGTACCGCAATTTTTCAACTCTCTTGCCTAAGATCCAGGACAAAGCAATGCCTTCCGGAAACATGAAGTGTTTACATAATAATATCCTTAAATATTGTTGGGTTCACACACACACACACACACACACACACACAAATGAAGCATCTCAATGCACAAGGTGTTGGATAATTAACAAAACTGCACAAGCAAAAAATGGAAAGATTCTGTGCTTTTGCATGGGGAACAGGACAGGCATTTAAGGCAACGGTGAATAACAATGCATGTCTGAAGTACAGCGGTAACTCGTGTTAAGTACTTAATTCGTTCCGGAGGTCCGTTCTTGACCTGAAACTGTTCTTAACCTGAAGCACCACTTTAGCTAATGGGGCCTCCCACTGCCGCCGCACCGCTGGAGCACGATTTTTGTTCTCATCCTGAAGCAAAGTTCTTAACCTGAAGCACTATTTCTGGGTTAGCGGAATCTGTAACCTGAAGCGTATGTAACCTGAGGTACCACTGTATGTCTGAAGTATGTATATTTGGACCTACATTCCATTTTAGAGGGAGACTGGCATGGCTTTAGCTGGGTCTCCCCAACCTGTGTCTTGGACTGCCAATCCCATCGGCAGCATCCAGTGCGTACCAGTGTGAACAGCAGGTGGAGCAGTTTCTCTACTTATCATGCCTTAATCCAAATAAAAGCCCAGCTCAGCTTCCACCAACCTGCCCAGAGCGGAAGGGCGAGATTCATTCAGCTGGGGGCAAGGAGAGAGGCTGGTCACTAGGGCAGTAGCCTGCTCCCCCAAACCCAAAACTGTAGCCCAGCCGTCTTGAGTCCCCCAGAGCTATATTTACTTTTTAGAAGCCATTTCAGTGAGCAGCTCCTTGTAGGTCCTTTCCGTCTAGTTTTCTTGATGTAAGCAGAACTGGAGGGGGCGGGAATCACAGGTATATCTAGGTCATGGGTGGGGTGGGCAAACTAAGGCCCGGGGGCTGGATCCAACCCAATCGCTGTCTAAATCTGGCCCATGGATGGTCCAGGAATCAGCGTGTTTTTACATGAGTAGAATGTGTCCTTTTATTTAAAAGGCATCTCTGGGTTACTTGTGGGGCCTGCCCGGTGTTTTTACATGAGTGGAATGTGTGCTTTTATTTAAAATGCATCTCTGGGTTATTTGTGGGGCATAGGAATTCGTTCATTCCCCCCCCCAAAAAAATAGTCTGGCCCCCACAAGGTCTGAGGGACAGTTGACTGTTGAAATAGGTTGCTGACCCCTGATCTAGGTTTTGAACTTTGCCTCCTGGAAATGGGAGTTTTTTTCTAAGTGTCCAGCTTCTCTCTTCAGAGTCTGTGCTTTTAAACAACTGATGCTCGAGTCTTGACAACTGCTTGTGTCCACTGCATCTTTGCAAAGGATGGGGAGTAAATCAGAATAAATTGACTGCCTCCAGTGACACCCCACCCTCAACAGCTCGGAGTCCCTTTAGCTGGCCTGCTCACTGCTCCATCAACCCTCTGTTGCTCTCCAACTAGCCAGGCAGGATTGCACCGTTCTCTGGAAGATCTGGCTGAATAAACTGTCCACATTACCACCCTGCCCCTTCCAAACCATGATAAAAAGCTTTTCTGGCCTGTCCTTTGAACCTCTGTCCTGCTTCCACTTCTTAATGCTTGTAATATGTCGCTTTGTAGGAACCCACCCAAAATTTTATTTTTCTATATTGTGTATAAACCCGCACTCTCACTTTCTCTTTCTCCCCCTCAGGAGAACGGGTGGACATTCAATGAGCTTGTTGCGGCCAATGTGGCTTTATTAGAGAAAAATAAACGGAAGTGATTTTTGCTTTCCTCTTCTGCGAGATGAGTGTTTGGGGCCCAGGTGCGAGTGAGCATGGAGGCTTCAGCTGTGATTCCCCTTGGGGGGGTTTTCCTTCCAACTCTACAATTCCTTGTCAGGCAGGAGGAATGCTCGGCAGGCAGATCTGCTCTTGGCTTCCTGAATCGCAGAACTCTGACTGGAAGGGACCCGAGGGTCATCTAGTCCAACCCCCTACAATGCAGGAACTGGAGTTAAAGGATCCCCTTTTTTCTGTGGAAAATGTTCTGCTTCACAGATTAATTAGTAACTGTGAATGTCAATTACAAATAAGTGTTAGACAAGCTGGCAATTTCATCCCCCCCCCTTTAGATCACTATAAGGCATTTCTGATTTCTCTAAGTGAGCCAGTTCAAATTTCCTGGAAAACCCACATCGCTGCCTGTGATCATTTTTCAGACACTGCCATCTCCTTCAAAAGATTCAAGGTTTAGGAAATAAACCTTATTGTGGGTTTTGTAATGTACGTAAATTTTAGACAAATGGCTGCCTAGTAAGCTACCCCTCTGGATTTCAGTCTGCAGCACATTGTGAAAGGATGCAGTATCTCCTAGTAGAAGCTTTAAGTTTTGCATCAATATGACAAAAAATTCTAATCTCAGCGATGAGAAGATGTATAATCTCTTGGACCTTTCCCAATTTTATTTGAACATATATTAAAAGGTTCCGTCACATTTTGAAAGATTCATTTTCCCCTGATCTCTGGCCGCCTCCCAGAGCTTCTCACACGCCCTTTGTTGCCCAACTGCATTGCAACAGCCCTGCTTTCCATGGGTCTAACTCTCCAGGAACTGTTGCCACCACCCTCCCACTTCCTCCTGCAGTCCCAGGAGAGAGAGAACCTGGAATGCACTAAAGCAATTGTTTTTAAAAGGGTTCTGGACTAGTGTCCCAGCACTCCTCCGCTCAACCTGTACCTTTACTCACCTGCCATGGAACAGCAGTAAAGTTGGATGTTTTAATTTGTTAGAAGCTGCCCAGAGTGGCAGGGGCAACCTTGTCAGATGAGTGGCATATAAATAAATAAACAATTATTATTATTATTATTATTATTATTATTATTATTATTATTATTATTATTATTATTATTATTATTATTTAAAAAGGAACTGTAGTTAAAGGATCCCCAGCAGGTGAACTAAAAGGATGCAGGCAGAGGATGGCTGGGGAAGACTTTCCATTACTGGGGAGCCTCCATTATCCAGAGGGAGTTTGGCTTGGGGGGGGCCAGCAATTTGCAGAAAAGCAATTTCACATATAGAGGAGTGATTCTGGGGGCAGTGAAGCGACGCCAGTCAACTGAATTCTGCTGGATAGGTGGGGAATAATGTAAAGGTACCCCTGCCCGTACGGGCCAGTCTTGACAGACTCTGGGGTTGTGTGCCCATCTCACTCAAGAGGCCGGGGGCCAGCGCTGTCTGGAGACACTTCCGGGTCATGTGGCCAGCGTGACATCGCTGCTCTGGCGAGCCAGAGCTGCACACGGAAACGCCGTTTACCTTCCTGCTAGTAAGCGGTCCCTATTTATCTACTTGCACCCGGGGGTGCTTTCGAACTGCTAGGTTGGCAGGCGCTGGGACCGAGCAACGGGAGCGCACCCCGCCACGGGGATTCGAACCGCCAACCTTTCGATCGGCAAGCCCTAGGCGCTGAGGCTTTTACCCACAGCGCCACCCGCATCCCTAGGTGGGGAATAACAACAGGTAAAATTGCTTTCTTGCTGCCTGGCCCTGAACAAACTAGACCGGGGGTCCCCCAAGTTTTGGAGGCCACGGCCGTCTTGGTTCCGCACCCCCAGGGCCTCCACTACGGAAAGCATGGTCCGAAATAGCAGTTTGCACAACCCATCGAGGAAGATAATCGCGCACAGTAAACATCTGAAACCACAACTGTCAGGGAACTGCCATCAGGAAGACAGGAGGTGGAAAGGCTCCCAGAGGTTGAGAGAGACTTAGCAGCTGGAGAGGGAACCAGCAGGGGGAGAGGAGGGGCTCCAGGGGAAAGTGAGTCGGAGGGATGGCTCAGAGACACTTCCAGCGAAAACAGTGGGGAGGTTTCAAGACCTCCTGTAGGGACACCCACTCCTCGCCGGAAACTGTCACGCCGAGAGTCCAGAAGACGTGTTTCCGTTAAGGAGCTTTTATGCTGGAAGAGATTCCGTAAGAGACCACTTTCGGATTCTGCTAGCGACTGACGCAGCCATGCTGGAGGGGCTCCGTCGTAGGCAGAGGTTTGCGGATTTGATCAAACTCTGAGGGACTTGCATTTTACGCACAAGCAGCTCATTATCCCATCACAGCAACCATTAATTGCAGCATTTACTCAAAGCCCAGTTGAAGCCAGTTTGCTTATTTCAGCAAACTTAGCTGTGTGTATAGTTTTAATTACTCTGCTAAGGATAAACTGTTTTGCACTGTTCGCTTGTTTGTTTCTATGTTTTGGCAATTCTTGGTTTTTATCTGTAAGCCGCCTTGAGCTCCGTCAGGGAAGAAGGCAAGGTATAAATAAATTTCCAGTAGTAATAGATGACCCAGCGATACCGGCTTTTCAAGGTCTGCTAATCATGTCCCCTCGCCTTATTTATTTAATGTGTGTGCCTCCCTTCATCTGTAGATCTCAGGATGGCTCACAACATAAAAATAAAATATAAAACGCAAAATGCATGATTAAAACAAGGGGGAAACCACACACCCTCCCACCTGCAGGGGGCAGTGCCACCCAGTTTGGGGACCTAGACGAGGCTCCAGAAGAGACGCTGGACTGGGCTCCAGCCTGTAGGTGGCAGCAGAGCAACTCCTGGCCTCCCACCCACAAGATTCAGACTTTGCCAATGGGGTGCCCCCTTCAGGCGCTTTGCGGTACTGATGGGAGCACAGCCTGATGGGAGTTGTAGTCCACCTGGAAGGCCACAGGCTGGAGGTAGCCGGGTGCAGAGGACAAAAGACCTCATTGCAAAAGAGAAAACTTAAAACCCCAACCACATCCCCAGTCATTCCACACAGGACAGCAGAGGAGGTTTTTTTGTTCCAACTGAAGTTTATTGTTTTCCTTTAGAGATTTTTTTGCTTTTAAAAAACCCAAAAAACACACAAGTTTATTTGAATATATATATATATATTTATGTATATATGTATATAGGCACATAAAAAACCCATTGGTTTCTTTCTTAACTATATCACATTCCTGGTCTTTGAACTATGAATCTTTTTTGAAAAAAGAAAAAAAAGTGAGAGAGGAAAGAGAATAGTTAAGAAAACACATCTGGGAGAGGAAGCGCCGTGTTTAAAGACAAGGCTCCAACAAGTGAACAGAACATCTGCAGCTCTCCAGATGTTGATGGGCTTTAGCTCCCAGCAGCCTGAGACAGAGTGGCCCAATGGTTAGGGACAATGGGAGTTGAGCAACACTGGAGGGGTGCCCACCTCAGACAAATGAAACAGGTGTCAGCCATGAAGAATGGATGAGCCTTGGGTCTCATCCTGCACCCTCACCTCCCTGCTGCTCCATAGAGGGCAGTGGTCTAGTTATGGGGTTGCCGAGGCAGGAGGCACATCAGACTGCCTCCCTCCTACCGCCGGAGCAGATTTTTAAATTTCAAAATCAGGAGGTTCTGCTGCAGGAAGTGGAAAACTTAAAATTTAAAAGAGAAGGGAGAAGAAAGTAAAAAATCTAGCACATCAGTCTGTGGCAGTCTAGCTCCCTGAAGAGCTACTTTTCCAGTTGCAGGGGACTGTTTTGGGGTTGGGGGGCGAAATCCAAAAGTCAACGCTCTTCAACCTGCCCTCTTAAGCCACGCCGTGGGTAGATTTCGCTAGGAAATGCAACTCATTCCTTTCGTGTCGGGAGCGGAGGGTTCGAATCTTGAACATGAAAAAGACGTTAAAAAGCAAGCAAACTGCAGCAGGAAGGTAGAGAGAACAAAACACATGTTTTCTGTGACGCGGGGGTTTCAAGACACCGTATGGCTTGCAAGAAGAAGAGATTCGCTCAGGGCATCTCTGGAAAGGCAACGGAGGGTTCAAGCCTTGGGAAGGAACAAACCTTCTCAGGCTACAGCTAAGCAGAAACAGGAGTTTTTTTGTGGGGGGAGAGACACACTCTTGCAGGGCAACCGGGCAACTTTTTCACCTTTGGGGACTCTCCCACCTTTACCGTTCCAAGCAGAAACAATGGGCTGCCTTGTTTGGCTCTGCCAGAAGCTGATCTGCCTGGGGGAACCTTCCCAGGAAAGTACCGCCTTGAAGGCTTGTTTGCCCTGAGGACAGGGAAGTGGGAGGCGAAAGAAAATAAGAGCACCCAACCCAAAGGCAGGGGGGCTGTGTAAAATTGGTCCCCAGCAACTGATGCAGCCCTAAGTCAGCCTCGCCAAGCCAGCGCTCTCCAGATGTTTTGGACTAGAATTCCCATCAGCTGGGAGTTGCGGTCAAGAGGGTGCTGGCTTGGCAAAGGCTCTCTAAGAAGTAACCCTGACCTATCTACAGCAAGGCAGCGAAACCTTAAGTTATCTGAATGCCTGAAGGAACACAGATTTCCTCCGAACAGCCAGCCGAAGCAGCTGTTTGGGAGCAGCCAGTTGCTGGCTGTTTAGAGATGGCTGCTGATGCGCTCGGCCGCTGCGCAACCCTTGGGAAACTGAGGCTTGCAAAAGGGCGGCTGCGGGAAACGCTTTTGCAGGCAGCGAGACAATGCTAAAACCTGGAGGAAAATCAACACACACACAACTGGTCTCTGGGGGTCCCCCACGCATGTGCACCCGCTTGCAAAAACTGGGGTGCGCACGGTCTTTTGGACAAAAAGCCACACATCCACAGACGCAGTTTGAAGGCCGGAGAGACGGCTCTCGCCTTAAGCCACAGAACCCGCCTTTTCGAAACCGGCGGGAGGGTGGGGGATGGGATTAAGCGCAGCACCCCCAAAAACCCACAAGACAAGCGCCATGGGGGCGGGCACAAAACAAGCACAATCTGCGTCAGGCAGCCAGCGAACGGTTGGGATGGGCATTCTCGTTTCAAGCTCTTTATAACCGGAAAATATTTATACATAGAAAAGCCTTTGAAGGACGAGTGGGGTTCGAAGAAGAGGAGGAGGAGGAAGAGGAGGCGGTGGGTTGGGGGGCAGGCCTAGTCGAAGCCGTGCCACTCACTCTGCTCTGAGTCGTACTCCGCCTCGGCTCCGATACACTTGACCCCTTCCAGCAGCATGGGGGTGCCGTGGTGGCGGTCTGCAAGGCAAAGCAGAGAGGTAGTGAAGTTAGGAAATTTCAGTAGACAAACTTTGGTCAAGCTGAAGAAAAGCACTATGGGAAAACCAAAGGCCAAAGGATTTATGGGAAATGTATATCTGTTGCTTTAACTAACTGACTCTAGGAGTGTGAATACTTATCTCATGCATCTGCAGGAAGGAAAACTTCCAGTTGATTAGTGGTGATTTAACACCTGGTTACTAAGTGATGCCCCTGTGTGAATCAGGGCTATCAAGCCTCATTACAGGAGAAAGGAGGATCTGCTGTGTCTCTGAGAAGTTTGGGAGGAACTCTTTGATCCCAAGGTTTTGAGTACAAACAAGCTTCAGCTGTCACCAGCTGAGTTATTATCCAACTCGGTGACCATTGGTAAATTTTGAATTAATTAGAAATTCTGATTGGTCCTTGGGGGTCTGATTACACGTGGGGTTTTAAGGATAAAAACCTTAGGAAAGGAGCCGGCAAGCGGCAGCATCCATCTGCCCTTCTGCCAGATTCACCAACTTGTTGGCAGTCGTCATTCATATGCGTGTTCTTTGTGATGAAGAATTCCTATTTTCTTCTTGAGATGCGGATTCAGCTGAGAACTTTACGAACTGCCTTAACTTTTCTTGTGTTCTCGTTTTTTTGTAAGTACGTTTAGCTAGCGATGCTTTACAATGTTGTTACTTTCCTGTCTGAACCATTTAAGAGATGTGCCTACTTTGAAGTATGTTTAATCTTGTTTTTTAAATAAATTTTAAAAGGCGGATTTTCCTATTTTGTTCTGTGTGCCTTTCTGGGGAAAGTCTGAATCCAAAGTCTGACCACTTAGCCTCCTACTGAACCTGTTGAATTTCTGCCTTTAATTTATGGAACCTGTTGAATTTCTGCCTGCAGTTTGTGGTGAAGCAATGCAGGGTGGGGCAGCCGACAACAAGGAAGAGTAACATTCTCCCTTGGGTTAATCTTCTGGGCTATCCCCGGACAAGGGAGTGGGGGCAGCAGCTAACCCTTTTGTTGTGTTTTGTCCTGAAAAATAAATGCTGTGGCACTACCTTTCCCTCTCCTAGCCGGGTCCCGCTGGATTGTAGGACAGAAGAGGAAGGTGGGTGTGCCGCAACATTACTACAGGCGGCGTTGGAGAAAGAAAGAAACACTGCTCAGCGGGCACTAAGGGGAGACAGGCCCCGCCTCCTAATTCTGGCCCGTTATGCAAGGCAGCGGCAGCCAGAAAGCAGAGAGGAAACTGTTGAGGCGACTCGTGCAAGTGAGCCAAGCCGCACAGGGAAGGGTTTAGGGAAGCTTTTAATGTTTGGTGTATTACGGTATTTTAATATTTTGTTGGAAGCCGCCCAGAGTGGCTGGGGAAGCCCAGCCAGATGGGCGGGGTATAAATAATAAATTATTATTATTATTATCATTATTATAAAGGGTCTGCAAAAATCGTCGGTAGGCAGAACTACCTATCATGCCTTTTGTAAAGAAATGTTACTTTGGGTAGCTGGAAAATAACTTCATGCTCCACCTCGAGGGGGCAGTTATAGCCATCATGAAACCCACTCTATCATTTCCCTTTTATTATTTCAGCTCCTTTCCCATGCTTATTAAAAACAGTGCCGCACTCATTTCACCCTCTGCAATCTTTGCTTTGATCTCCTGCAGTCAAGGGATGGAGAGCAGCAATTGGAGTCCTTATCTCTGATGCGCCGCCCCCCCCCCCCCCAGCAAACACTCATTAACCCGAGAGATAACTATTCCAACACACTGCAAGCGAGTTTAATTTCCTGAGCAGCGGAGGCTCTGCGCCAGAGGAGGATATTAATTCGGGGATATATGGGCTCAGATGCCGAAAGGTGGCATAGCCCAGGGGCACCCGGCCGGTGTGTGGGTGCAGTTAAACAGGAGATTTATGCGTTAAAATGGGGGGGGGGGAGGCCAGGGCTGGCCCACCAGGGCTGGCCCATCGACAATTGCAGAGAGAGGATGCCTAAGGATCCCATGCAACGTCATAGCAGAATAGAATAGAATAGAATTTATTATTTATACCCCACCCATCTGGCTGGGTTTCCCCAGCCACTCTGGGCGGCCTCCAACAAAGATTAAAAATACATTAAAATGTCACACATTAAAAACGTCCCTGACCAGGGCTGCCTTCAGATGTCTTCTAAATTTCATATAGTTGTTTATTTCCTTGACATCTGGTGGGAGGGCGTTCCACAGGGCGGGTGCCACCACCGAGAAGGCCCTCTGGCTGGTTCCCTGTAACCTCACTTCTCACAGCACGGGAACCGCTAGAAGGCCCTTGGAGCTGGACCTTTGTGTCCGGGCAGAATGATGGGGGTGGAGACGCTCCTTCAGGTCTACTGGGCCGAGGCCATTTGGGGCTTTAAAGGTCAGCATCAACACTTTGAATTGTGCTCAGAAACGTATTGGGAGCCAATGGAGGACTTTTTCGTGGAAAAGTAGTGGGAGTCTTCAGGTCCTCCAAGGGCTTCCTCAGCCCCCCCCCCAAATGTAGGCTTGGGGAAGGGGGACACTTACCCATCACCCTGGCTTGCACGACCACCTTGATGGAGACTTTGTCGTTGGTCTGGCTGTGCAGCACCATCTCCTCCCGGAGGACCCCTTCTTTGTGGGCGGTGTACTCGCATTTGATGTTGTAACCTGAGCGGCAGGGGGGAGACAAGAGTGGCAGGCGTCATCACATAACACCCCCGCGAGGATCACAGAAACAGCAGACAAAGAGGCTGAGGGAAGCATTTCCTTGACACAGCAGGTCATTAACCCGGGGAACTCCCTGACACTGTTACGCAGAAGCTCAGCTGCAACTCTGCACATGCCCTGGGACTAGGCGACAGCTTTGGTTTTGCTTCAGACAAAAAACTGCAGTGGTACCGCAACGTCACAAAGGAAGCACGCAGGTATAGAACCCAGGCACAACTGGCATATATAGTTAAAGGACTGAGTCCTAAGTATTGGCATTGTGGTCAAGAGTTAGGGGTATATGCACATATGTGGTGGGAGTGTATTTGTGTAAAGGAATATTGGCAAAAGATTATAAAGGTTATTTCTGGTGTATTTTCAGGTTAAGATGGCAGTCAATAGAGAAATGCTTATCTCAGGAATACTGAGGAATAGTAAAACAGAAAGGAAAGAGCCATTCTCTGTTAATAATTCATTCTCGAATTGCCCCCCCCCCTTAAAAATCAAATTGCCCCCCTGTAGGGCATGTGCCCCACCTTGGGAACCACGGATTCATATCGTACCCCTTTCCTCCAAGGAGCTCATGTTGTCATGCATAATTATAATAATGATGCTGGTGATAACACCAATAATTTGATTACAGTTGTACCTCGGAAGTCAAACGGAATCCGTTCCGGAAGTCCGTTCAACTTCCAAAATGTTTGGAAACCAAAGCACGGTTTATGATTGGCTGCAGGAACCTCCTGCAGCCAATCAGAAGCCCCGCCGGACGTTCGGCTTCCAAAAATAGTTCACAAACTTGAAATGTCACTTCCAGGTTGCAACGTTCGAGAGCCAAAACGTTTGAGAACTAAGCTGTTCGAAAACTAAGGTACGTCTGTATTTGTACCCCACCCATCTGACTGGGCTGCCCCAGCCACTCAGGGCAGCTTCCAACATAATAATAATAATAATAATAATAATAATAATAATAATAATAATAGTTTATTTATACCCTAGCCCATCTGGCTGGGCTTCCCCAGCCACTCTGGGTGGCTTCCAACAAAATATTAAAATACAGTAATGCATCAAACATTAAAAGCTTACCTAAACATATATGAAAACACAATGAAACATTAAACAATGGTTTAAACATGGATCTCCCCCCTCCTCACTTAATCCACACAACAACCCTAGGAGGTAGGTGAGGCTCAGAGAGGCAGGGACCGGCCAGAGCTCACACCCAGCAAGCTTCACGTCAGGATTCGAACCCAAGTCTCTTCCCAGGTCCTCGTCTGGCACTCTTAACTGATGCTACAGCGCTCTGGTCAAAGCGGCAGGTCCAGGCCGACCCCCCCCCCAAATTACAGACCCCGCTTCTTCAGAGAGAGAAATTGGGGGGGGGCACCTCTTCTAGCTGATACAGGTGCAAAGCCAGGTGCCTTTCCTAAAAAGCCGTCAAACACTTTTAATAAAATATGCTTGCTAATTCAAGCACTCGCTCCACATAGGCGGGGAGTTGGGCATGATTGGGAAAGAAGCCCCCCCCCAAAAAAAAATCCCTCCAGCAATAGAAAAAAAAATGACCCCCCCTCAAGCTTTTCAGCAGAGCAAAACCTTTTTTATTTTTTTGTCACCGGTAATAATTTCGCTTGACTCAGAGGAAGATAAATAACAGTCATTCATCTGGGGAGGGGTGTAATAATTTGGTGCATTCAAGGGGAAGGTTTCCAACGATCAGGAAAAATGCCTAATTTCCGCACCTGAACAATGACGGGACTCGCTGGGCGTGGGAACAGCGCTTTGAAATTTTTCACAAATGACTCGCCTCCTACGTGTTAAATCGGCAAAGCTGGAGGGGTGTATTTAAAACTATAAGCCATTAAAGAACACATTAATTTGGGGAGCGGGGCAAGGGGTTTGCCTAAAGATAGAGGCAAGCTTTCAATAGGTACCTGAGGTTTGGAATATAGAGGTCTTTGGTAGAGGGAAGGATCTCACCATAATGGTTATTACACCTTATACGATGTGGGTTTTTTAATAAACCAAACCTAGCTTTTCCTACTGGCATGTTAAAAAGTCCAGGGATTTTTTTATATTGGGATTAATTGCCTTTGGGCAGCTACCAGCTATTCAATTTACCCCCACGCTCAAAGAGAGCAGTTCCTTCGTCTCCTTCAAGCCTTCTACTCTCCTCCTGTGTGCTAAACCTTGCACTCATAGGGTATAAGACCCCCTTGCCAGGGGAATTTAAATGGTAATGGGGGTCCTGCAGCCGCCAACTCACACCAGCCCCCATCTTTCAGGCCAGCGATCCTGGGTGATGGGAATGCATAGCATTGCAGAGTTGGAAGGGATCACATTCACCCAGTGCTTTACCAACTGCACTGGCTCCCGGTGGAGTCCAGGGTCAGGTTTAAGGTGCTGGTTTTGACCTTTAAAGCCCTATGCGGCCTAGGACCCAGGTACCTATGGGACCGTCTCTCCTGGTATGCCCCGCGGAGGACCTTAAGGTCCACAAATGACATTTTGGAGGTCCCAGTTCGCAAGGTGGTTAGATTGGTCTCAACAGGGCCAGGGCCTTTTCAGTACTGGCCCCAACTTGGTGGAACGCTCTGTCACAAGAGACCAGGGCCCTGCGGGATTTGACATCTTTCCGCAGGGCCTGCAAGACAGAGCTGTTCCACCTGGCCTTTGGTTCGGACTCAGTCTGACCCTTCTGTTTCCCTCCCCTTATGGTTTTGATCTGTGGGCTACTTTTAAAATGAGGCTGCATTTTAACCTGTATTTTAAAATGGGTGTTTTTTTCCATTATGTTTTTATTGTAATTTTACTGGTGTTAGCCGCCCTCAGCCCGGCTCTGGCTGGGGAGGGTGGGGTATAAATAAAAATTATTATTATTATTATTATTATTATTATTATTATTATTATTATTATTATTATTATTATTATTATCATCATCATGCAATGCAGGAATCTCAGCTTGAGCATCCATGACAGATGGCCACCCAACTTCTGTTTAAAACCCCCCAAGGATGGAGAGTCTACCACCTTCCAAGGGAGTCCGTTCTACTGTCAAACATCTCTTACCGTCAGAAAGTTCTTCCTGCTGTTGAGCCGCAAACATGGAAAAAAATACACAACTGCAATGTAAGAAAATAAAAGATAAAAGCACACAACCAACCTCAACACCTTCCACATCCATCACAGCAAGATCTAAAATAAAGACAGCGCACGAACTCTCCTTGCTTGGAGGTTTTTAAGCAGAGGTTGGGTGGCCATGTGTCACGGACACTTTAGCTGAGATTCCTGCAATTTCAGGGGGTTGGACTAGATGACTCTGGTGGTCCCTTCCAACTCGATGATTCTATGAAACAAAACACCCCAGCCCACAAGTCTGCCCTTTATCATGTCGGTTGCCCTCCTCTGACAGCTTGTCAATGTTAGGAGCGTCCTACTCTCGTGTAGGACCCTGGCAGAGACACATGCCCAGCTGGCATGTTCTCTCCCTCCTGGTCGATCGTTCGGGAGCATCAAAAGCTTCCTTCTGCCTGAACATCACAGCGACCGATGCCAAAAGGCATTAGCACGCTTAGGAATCCTGCAGAGTATTCGCAGTTTGCATAACAAATTCAGTAGCACAGCATTTGGGCTAATACAGTCATACCTCGGGTTACAGACGCTTCAGGTTGCGCGTTTTCGTGTTACGGATGCGCCAAAACCCGGAAGTACCGGAACAGGTTACTTCCGGGTTTTGATGCTCACGCATTGAAAAAAGTCATACTTTGTGCATGTGCAGAAGCGCCAAATTGCAACCCGCACATGCGCAGACTTGGTCTGCGGGTTGCGAATGCTGCAGGTTATGAACATGCTTCCTGCACGGATCACACTCGCAACCCAAGCATCCACTGTATGGACTTAACAGTCAATATCCTCCTTAAACGGTGGCACTCAGAACTGGACACGGTACCCCAGAATAGAGTCAGAATACAGAGAGGAACTATTGCTTCCTTTAATCTGGACACTAGACTTCTGCGAGACTTCTGCGGATGCAGCCTTTATTCGCAGTAGACTTTTTCTGCTGCATCACACTATTGACTGTCGCAAGCCGTAATTACAGCAGCATGCCCATCGTCAGGACGGATGGGGTGCCTGCGGAGGAGAATGCACATATCGCAAGGACATTTAAGGGGTGCCCCATCGGTGCATCTCGACCCCTTGCTTGGCAGACCAGAAGGACCCTCCCCAGCGACACTATGGATGAAGAAGTCAAAGAGGTTATGATTAAGTGGGCCATAGATATAGGACATCCTATAGAATATGAAAAATGGAAAAAACTATGGACCAAAGACATGAAATTTTCAGCATGTGTCGGCCTCCGAGAGAATATGGAAAAGATGATGTACCGCTGGTACATCACCCCAACAAAATTAGCTAAAATGTATAAAACTGGAGATAAAATCTGTTGGAGGTGTAAAAAGAAGGAGGGAGACTTCTTCCATATGTGGTGGTCTTGCGACGTAGTAAAGAAGTTCTGGGGTTCCGTCTATGACGAACTAAAAAAGATGTTAAAGTATACTTTCCCAAAAAAACCCGAAGCATTCCTTTTGGGAATGGTGGGCAGTGAGATCAGTAAGGAAGACCAAACACTATTCCAGTATGCAACAGTAGCCGCCAGGTTACTGTTAGCACAGAAATGGAAAAATCCCAGTATCCCAACAATCATGGATTGGCGAACCAAACTAATTGAACACATCGACTTAGCAATAATGACGCAAAAGATTAGGCAGCAGAAAAATACTAAATTTATTAAGGATTGGAACAAATTTTTTTCATACATGGAGACGACATTAGGAAATACCAAAGTCACAGTAGGCATAATTTAAAAAACTGCGAAGTAAAACATAACAGTTAACAAAAGACACTGCTGTAAATATTGTTGGGATAGAGATCTCGTCGTGGTGGTGGGAAGTCAAGGAACG